TGCATGCCTTTTTGTCCTAATATGTGTAGTTTTTGAGAAAAGTAAGTTTTAAGTGTGTATAAAGTAAGTTTTGCCCTGACACAAATGGATAAAGTTAGTTTTGCTCTGACGCCAATGGATAAAGCTGGTTTTGGAAAGACAGTTATAGTATAGGCTTCCCGGTACACTAGGATTGCATAACACTAATCAATATGTTTCATAACTTTAAAACCAGTTGAGTCCACAAAATAAAATTATTACAGGTTAATACCCTTACTTAGTACTATACCTGAGCCAAATTTAAAATTTTAATTTTCATGCCCAACAGAGATATTTAGCATCAAACTTTTGAAATTTTGAAAATCTTAAGATTTTGAAATTTTTTATTTAAAACCCTATGGAAGTCCACAACCTGAAACTTTGAGAATTTGGAGTACACACCTATAACTATCAGATAAAAAAATAACAAACACATAGTCAATTGCCTTTATGTAAAAATAAATTGTTAAAAATCTGTTTTTGTAACATCCTTGCGTTAAACTTTAAACAGGTAATTAGACCTATATATTTTTTTATAAGTGCAAAACCATATTACCATATTAAAGTTTAGATCTTTCTAAAGAGATTGGTTTTTATTTTAATGTTCTAGGATTAGTAGAACCGGAGATATTTAATTTAACGCAGAGCTCTGAAAACGGGCATTCGACCAACAAAAAAATGGCCGCCATACAGTAGAAAAATAACATAAAAATAAAATAATTGTATTTTTGCACTTCTAATGATATGTACTTTCAAGTATAAAAATATGAAAAAATTTAAAAATCTTGAAGCAACCACCTTTGGACCACTTGAAATGGATTGACCCTAGAGTGTTCAAACAAACACATCTACTAGATACTAAGAAGTGTTAGAGTTAAGCTGAAGAAGGTGTGAAGGAGGACATCTGCTAGATCTCTCCGATCTCCCCCCAAGGACTTCTGAGGTATTTAATTACAAGGGCCCACATTTAACATCTTTTTTTCTTTACACACCCATCATCACTTTGAATCTGAAGCCATTATGTTATAGGCTTTTAGGAACTTAGATTTCTAGAACTAGGGGTAGTTAGGAGTGATGTATTTCTGAAATTTAGGAGCTTCGACACCTCCTATCTATCCTCTGCCATTCCAGAAACTCTTTCCCTTTCTAAAAACCGAGATTTTACTTTGGGCAACAAAAATCAGTAACCAATAGCAGCATTATTTAGTTGTAGGCTGAATGCGGCTGCACTTTAATATCCGTCGTACACTCATTCGAATGAAAAAAATCGATATAGGCTATATCCGACCTATTGCCATTACTCTGTAGAACTGGAATATTACAAATAATATAAGATTGAACATATTGATTGCAAACATTTACGAAATCTGTTTGTTCAGAAAATATTTATTTAAAGTATAACCTCCAAGATGTTAATATATACTTGATTCGGTTAGGCCGATTACTCTTAAAATCACCAACTTGATATTAAAATAGCAAATGGTCTATCTATGAATGTGTCAAAGACACAACTAATTCACTTTTCAGTTGCTAATGAGAATCGAGACATTGCTGTAAATTTGAACCAAATATCAATATATTCTCAAAACTCGGTCAATTACCTGGGAATTGGTATAGATTGACAACTTAATTGGCAAACATACATTAAGAATCTATCAAAGAGACTCAGATCAGCTATACTTGTTCTTCGGGTAATTCGACATACTACAAATTTAGACACACAATCAGCAGTATATCACGCTTATTTTTCTTCCATCATGTATTAGGGTTTAACAGTATGGGGTTCTTCTATTCATGCCGAACAAATTTTTATCCTCCAGAAAAGAGCAGTTAGAGTCTTAGCCAAAGTGTCTCGAATTACTCACAGTAAAGAGTTTTTCATTCAGTTTAAAATTCTTACTTTGTATAGTTCTTATATCTTTAAACTGGCTTTAATGGTTAAAAGTGATTTTGACACATTCATCGAAGATCAACATGAACATCCTTATAAGACTAGATTTAAAAACAATATAAAACCAATTCAAAACAGACTTACAGTATTCCATTTATCTCCTCAGTACATGGGCCCAAAAATATATAACAAATTACCTTCTTCAATTAGGGACACTGATTCATTCCCTAAATTCAAAAAGAAGTTAAAAATACCCCCGCCGCAGCAAACCTGCAGACTAAGCGAATTTCAACTTGTCTGATTACATTTTTACTCAAATATTTCCATAAATAAGACATATTTATTCCCTATTTAAATAACATTAAATTTAACAAGTGCTTAGGTTTGCTGCTACGGGGGAGGTAAAAAGTGTTTTTTGACCATACGTGAATAGTATGGGATGAAATAAATAAATTTGCCAAATTTTATCAATATATATCCATAAACAAGTAAACTACAACCATTTTTATTTTCTCCATAAGAATAACATGGGAATTTAAAATTAAACTATTTTTGAATTTTCTCCGTGACCGTTAGGCATACAACAGCGCTTCAATATACTAAATTATTTTTTGTTTTTAGGGTAAAAAATGGGAAAAACACATTTTTACCCAATAAAACCCCCCATAAACCCCTGTTCCCATGGTCCGATTATGCTGGATCGCGAACTCGTTCGAATAAACGTAGGTTTACACGTTTGTACCAAATTTCATCAAAATCGGATCATTTTTGCTCGAGTTATCGCGCTAACGGACACATATATATATATATATATAAATATATATATAAATATATAATATAAATATATATATATATGAATTCGAACGGATGGTGTTTTTGGCCTCTAGGGACCTCAAAATGAAAAAAAATCGGTCCCGTGTCCAGGTCATACCATGAGTACTACGGTAATAGCTTATTCCCTATATGGGAAATTCGCTATGAGTACTACGGTAATAGCTTATTCCCTATATGGGAAATTTGCTAAAACTTTCTTTAGGAGAAGGCCTTCTTCTCATTTTAGGAATATATGGAAGCTGTGTAGATGTTAAGGCTCAGCATATGAAATTTATTTTAGTAATAGTTTTAGAATAGAGACTATAAATTATTGTAACAATGACGAATCACCTGTCTGAATATGATGTTATGTGATTATTGGAAAATAAATAAATAAATAAATAAAATTATAAGATGAACTTGTAAAAATTGCTTTATCAAAATATATTTATAAAATGTGTTCATCAAGATTCTTTGAGTATACTATGTATACTTTGTTCGGTTAAGCCGATTACCATTAAAATTCATATTAAAATTATAAGCTGAAACACAGGCAAATGAAAAGGTGAGGATTTGTAAAAATACTGTGTATTGATTAAAATAATAAACCATGATATAAATAATACAGTTACCTTTTGTACACAATAAATTCATAATTTGAGAGAGTGAGAGAGTTGATTGTAAGCTAAAAGTTCAATTTGGCGGTTTTCTCATTTTGAAACACAAAGCCTCGGGTAACCTAGCTTGATGATTTTTAATATTTATTTTAGGTCACCAGACTCCCCAAAGATGTTCATGTGTTTACCAACTGGCCAGTTGACAATTTAATACAACAGGGAATATTATGTAGTTTTGTAAACAAAACTGACTTACATCACTCCTTGTTGATCAGTGCAACGGGGCCAATCGACTTCTAAGCCGATTATTTGATATTTTTTTTAATATTGATTCTTTATGAATTTAATGGGAGTCTATCCTTGTAACCCTTTATCAGCCCTAGCCTTCGACCCAGTACTTTGCTTCTCCTATTTACTTTACACAATCAAAAATTCTCACTATTAAAAATGTGATACTCTGTTCAAAATTATTTCCATACATGAAATACAAAATGTTATAAATAGATACACTGAGGATGGTAGAATTTGGCCCTTACATAGAACATAAAATTAATACTATATCACAGATAATCAATAGGCCTACTCATAAAACTAATTGGCTATTTCAATTCAATTTAATAAATAATTTTCATTTGACCAGAATTACTATTTCAGCCTAAACTCTTTGTATAACATAACAAATTTAATAAAACACTTTTCAGAATTTTGTGACCATGTGCTCTAAGCAGACCAAGTGAAACATGAAAATCTCAGACCAACTGTGACATGATTTTTGACTTGTAAAAATGAACTGTACCTGTGAAAAAATGGCAGATTGGCAGTATTAAATTATTTCTAAATCACAAATAACACAAAACATTTACTTACGTACACATGTCGACACATTTACACTCGCACTGACGAAAGATTCACACGGACGAACATTTAAAATCTGACTCGTAGTATTTGTCTGACCGAGCGAAATTTAACGACACGGTTTTTTTCCAGTGTAGGACTTATTAATTCTTGTTTTTCGAGCTGGCGTTTATTGATTCAATTGAAAATACCGTCACGACAATCTACGACTCGCTTAGAAACTGACATTTGCTATCAATCTGATGCATGTACGAATTTTCATCACGAACGCAAACAATCAATCCGGCATCTCAACTGTCTCGACTTAAAACTAATAAAACACACCCCCAATTGCAGTTCAGCGAAATTTAGACAATTGCGATCATTTGATGCACGTACAATTTTCACCCGAACGTGAATTTCCTAGCTACGAATTAAGATAATAATAAAATCATCCTACACCCGTGACGACGCGGCCATTGCTGTTGACGCTATGGCGACTTACTACGAGTGGCGAGTGCCCACGGCCCTATTCGAGTCCTTTGCTGTCGTATTCATCCGCGTTACGTCATGGTTGGACTTACTTGTCCGTTGCCTGGTGCGGAATTTAAACCTTTGCATTTAAAATCGGCACAGGTGTTTCTGGGTATTCTAAACGAATGCAACCACAGAAATCTTTGCAGGTATCAAAAATGCATCTGCATTGAACTAACTCTTTTAATTTGTATGACATACCGGTACCTACTTTAGTTTACATTAAGTTAGGAAAATTAGGTATGGTATGTCAAAATTTTTTTTTTTTTACTAACAGGTAATGTGTGTTCCAGGTAGTTTCATATGGTGCTATTCCTTTGATAATTCCAATATTGAAAAATATAAATCAAGACAGTATCCAAAGCAGAGCATGTCGATTGATAGGAAATCTCACTCAATCCTACAAAATTGCGGACAAAATTCATGAACAGCACATAACACCAGTTTTGGTCAATGTATTAAATACAAGTTCATCTTTAAGTACTCAACAGATGGCAATAAGAGCTCTGAGGTAAGTAATTAATTAGGTACCACAGTCAAGTTTTAATTATCTCCCTCTAGGGTAATGAGAAAGTTATCAACTAAGTTACAAAAATTGTACAGTAACTTATACATCTCATTTTTTAGCAAATTACCCTTAAGTTATAGGGAATAAAGCTATTAAGTTAGTGTACCAAGGGTCTCATGGTTAGGGTTGCCATATCCCCAGATTTCCCCGGAGATTACCGGATTTTGACATTCAAAATTTAGCTCCGTGAGATTTCTGCAAAAAGTGAGAAATCTCCTCTTTTTTTACTCTATTAAAATACATTGTATAACGGCACTTTTGGAATAAAATAAATGTTTGTGATCGCAAATATTGGTATGCAACGACTTAAAAATGTAACTCTTGAAGGTACAAACGTTTTTTTCATTCCTTAGTTTCACTTTGGCCAGCAACGTCTTTAGTTAATCTTCTGTTTGGGGTAGCGGATTTCTACCTCAGGATATTTACCCCCCATGAAAAAACGCCTACATAATTTTGACTTAACGAGGGCCTATACACGGTCGAGAAACAGCCCGCTCGACTGGAAATTTACCTCCAATATATTATTAAATAATCACAAACATGTAATTGTTTGCTTATAAAGTAATTTGCCATACCACAGAGTTTTACCCCCGGAAATCTACCCCTGGAAATCTACCCCTGGAAATCTACCCCCGGACATCCACCCACTGACATCCACCCCCGGACATCCACCCCCAGACATGTACCCCTAGAAATCTACCCCCAGTGGTCAAACAGAAATATCCGACCCCGGAATTCTACCCCCGGAAATCTACCTCCTGTGGTCGGCTACGCTACGTATCGGCCAAGATTATTTGTTGTAGGCCTAATTGCTTTTATTATTTGGTTTATGTAAATCAACTCTACGGTTAATCATTACCCTCTAAGTAAAATCCAGTATTAAGCATGCAATATGTCGTTGTATTGTTTAACAATGTCTATCTTCCTAATTCAATAAGCTGTAACAGCCCTTTTTCACCCGACCTACTTCGCAGATTTTTACGATTGAGGTGTCATTTTAAAGCTTAAGATCTAGCACAGCGTAAAATGATAATTAAAAAGGATATTTCGATTAGGGCTTCAAAACTATTCAAAACTAATTTGAACACCTGCTGCCTCCCGGGAAAGGTTACAGAGTCCTTCGTGGTAAGAAAATATAATTTGGTCCTTCCAGCATTTCGTGTAGAAGTTTTAATTATGTTGCATACTGATCATTGAACACCTGAGTTGTATCTTGAATTATATTAGTGCTTCAATAGATGTCCCATCCTATATCTATATATTTATATTTAATACATTGTTAAATAAGTAGGTTTTCTCAATCATTACTGGTCCGATCCGAAATTAAAGGGGATAATGCATAGATTTGCCGAACTTCTTTAGAATTGTCACTTTTTCTAAGGGGTACGACCTACAGCCCTTCAAAGGTCGAGTCAATACAATTCTTATTGAACAATATAATACACAGTTTATAAATTACTAGCAGAGTACCCGTCCTTCGTACGGGGTTGGCATATAAGTATAAAATGCTTATTTCAGTTATACTCAAGCTTTGCGTTTGCAATGAGGGAGGACACAGTTTGATAAAATTTGCTTCTTTAAATTTACAGTAATCTATAGTAGCCTATTACACATTTACCATAGCCATAATGTTCTACCACTTCACCTAAACAATAGAGAAAAATAAATTATCAAACATTCGCAATATATCACAAATTATTCATGAAATAAAAACATAAACATAACTGTAAACAATCCTACTTTGACAGTTAATTCTCATTGAGTATCACAGTTTTTTTGTTGCTGCTTAGTTCAAATTAGCTGTTTTCATAAATTCAAAAAAATATAGTGCTGCACCCTGTTAATAAATCTTATAACTTTTTAATGCTTTTGCATATCATAGAACCAACTTTTTTTGTTGAAACAGCTGACTAAATTCTTTAATTCCCTTTAAATATGAATACTCATGAGGTTAACATGGGGAACTACAGAGCCACTGGGGCGGAGCCCAAAAGGATTATCGAGATAAAAATATGCCTATTTGTTAATCGGGAATGTGAACTATCATCATGCCAAATTTCAGCTCAATCCGTCCAGTAGTTATTGCGTGATTGAACTTCAAACAAACACACAAACTTTCACATTTATAATATTAGTAAGATTCGTCAGCTGTTTAATGTTTGTCAGAGATTTGTTATTATTTTTATAACCTCACATTCAGTATGTAATGATTAATCAAGGAGTTCCTGTTAAAAATTAACACGATTTCAAACAAGGAAAAGGGTATTTTTTTGACATTTTATACCACAATGTATTATTTATGAAAGTATTTGAACATTATTTGTAGCCTATGTTTTGGTGTAATTTTTGTAATTTTTGAATAATGTGTGGTAATAGAGTTTGAGTATGGAATGTGAAATAATAGGCTTACCCATAGTAGGGGACGGAAACTTACTGTTTCGATCAATGTAATTTATTCTCTATAAAGTTTTCAATTAGCAATAATCACACCTCAGTTGAACTTCATTGGTTACGATATTGCCACTGCGCAAAGTTATTCTCTATTTCCACCAGAACAATCATAGGGAAATCCACTTGCAAGTTGTAGCCTACAGAAAATTGCTAATGAGTGAGAATCATACTAACATTTTATAATAGGTGATGAATCTTACTCGAGGTCAGTGTTTGACGTTCAGCAGTACCAAACTTTACTTTCTAGAGATGGCGAGTATGCTAGATACGTGTAACTACAATTTAAATTTTGTATTTTCGAAAAATGTGTTACTTTTCCTGCGAAGTGATCCAAAGGAAGGTGGTAATTGAGTTTTAGTTAGAGTATGGAGCGTGCAATAATAGTAGGGGACGGAAACTTCAGCAGTACTAAACTTTACTTTCTTGAGATGGCGAGTACACTGATACATTGAACTACAATGTAAATTTTGTATTCTTGAAAAATGTGTTTATTTTCCTGATCGATCTGAAGGAAAGTGGTAATTGAGTTTACGATGAGTATGGAACGTGAAATAATACCCAGAGTAGGGGACAGAAACTGTTTGTTCCGATCAAAATCATTTATTCTCTACGGCCACCAGAAAAATCATGGGGAAATTCGCTTGCAAGTTGTACAGGTGGATTTCAAATTGAGAGAGAAAATGAAAACAGAAAACAAATTAATTTGTTAAAATACATACTTTATTGACCCAATAATAAACAAAATGTTACATTACACATTGCTAACCATAGCAGAGCTTCAATGTAAGTTATCCTATTTTTTAATGAATATTTGTCTTATCAACTACAAAGACAACATCAGGTCGCTAACGTTTTTAAAAGTCTGAAAAAGATAGTGAATTCCATTGAAAATTAAAAACAAATGTTTATAAACATCTAACTTGTTTCCTGAATAATGGATCTATCATAATTAAAATTAAAATGTTTTATCATACGGTATGTAAAAATTAAACAGTAATAACGGGAACAATCTGAAATGTACAAGTTTTTGAAAAAAAATTTGGAATATTTAATGTAAAAAGATTTTTCATACTAATTTTTAACTACTTTGACCAAAGGGAGAACAAACCATTAAAAATAATACATCAATAGTATAATGTATTTCTTAAAATTCATTTTATATTCATTTTCGTGAGCGTTAGCGATCTGATGTGGCATTAGTGACCTGATGTGGTGCTAGCAAAACAGACATTTTTTAGGCTTTAATTATGGCACTCAGGGAAGTAAAGAAGTAGTATTTACTGCAAATGCAAGTCATTTTCATACAATACAACTTTTAGTACAAATTATCTTGTTTAGTTATATTACTGATGTTAGAAAAACGTTAGGGATCTGACCCATAGACATATAACATTGTCATCACCAAAGTACTGGTAAGAAAGTATATTAATTTGAAACAAAGAAGGGTAAAACAATTACACACTTATTACATCTAAATCTACTGGATCTTTGATGAAACAAAGAATAATCAGGTACAGTATAACATCAGGTCAATAACGTCAGCGACCCAGGGCCGGATTTCCCAATAGGCCCGGTAGGCTCGGGCCTATGGGCGCAAGGTCCCAGAGGGCGCACGGCCGAGAGGACATTTTTTTTATATCTAAAAATTAAATAGTCATAGTTGACAAAAAACTCTGCCTAATAAAGCATTGTGATTCTGAAGTTCATAAGAGGAATAATTGTTAGGAAATTTAAACTATTTTTCAGAATTACGCATCAATTTCGTTACAACATTGGTAAAGAACATTGGTTATACGGGAGCAGGCTGTAGGGATGTTGACGTTGACGAGCGCCCAAGGCGTACGCATCGTATTGCCACTGCACTGCCACTATGCTGGCTCGGGCTCGGCACTACTGATCAGAGTGAATAAGGGCGCATGCGTGCTAGACATTGTTACCACCCTCACCTCACAAAACAAAAGTTTAACTAATCTTTTGGTTAGTTTACAACAATCTGCAGGATCAAGCTAAAGTATATAATACGTTGTGTTGAATGTATTAAAACAACGATGAATTTACCTTTAAAATTAACAAAAAATATTAATCTTGCATAAAAATATTTAAGTTTGCATTAGATTAAAAAAAAATTCTATTCCCTCCAAAGCACCATTAATGCTGTCATTTTCTCCTCAGACCTAAAGGATCGGTATGGTTGGCCAGAATATTGCTTTGTTTTACTTTGGAATTATAACCTAGATGCAGTATGACCATAGATTAAATATAATTTAAGTCGACTTATTATGACATTGTTAATTTAAAATTTTCATGTTGGAGACACTGGACGTTAGTTTTGACGTAATTTTGTTTCTATTATTTTAGGGTTAGCTCTATGATGTGTGTTTTAATTTCTTGTAGTAATATAAAAAGGAGACGACCTATTGTTGATGATTAGATCGTTTTATTTTGGATAAACTAGGTTTAAATATATATAAAACATACTCCTTAAATAACAA